ATTTTCCTGGTCTTCTCCACTCCCTGAGTATCCGACCCCCAGTGCTCAAGGCCATAGTTGGTGAAGTCTTTGAGGATATCGAATCTCTCGCTGGAGGAGATATCCCAGTGCCTTTGCTCCTTAATTTCAGTGAAAAGCCATGGTTTGATGAGTGCCCCTCTGTAGCAAAAACAAATGCGTGTTGTTATTGCTGTGACTGATGCTCCTGCAGACGCCAACTTAATTTAAGAAACATTCTAGCACTTATTTTCCAGCCAATGCTGCTTTAAATTATTATTTTTTTAAAACTTCCACAGGCAGATGCTGGAAGTTCCCATGGACACAAACTGATTTTACCGATTTTCAGTGAGCCGTTCCACCAAGACTCATGTTTTGAAGTTTTTTAGATTTTTTTTATTATTATTTTTTTTTGTCTTGCACCACTAGATCTCAGAAGCAAAGAGGAAACACAGGCACTTGCCTTGCAATCATAATTCCCGAAACGCCTGTCTGCATGGCTCGATTAGCATCTTCATAAGACAAAATGTCACCGTTTCCTGTCCAGAAGGAAGGAAGAAGCCGGAGGTCAAAGTGATACACGAGGGCAAGTCAAAATGAGTTAATCCAGGCCTGGGATAAAATTCAAAATAGACAGAAGGTCCAAGAGCCAGATCATCCAAAGAGGCTCCAGAGCGAAGATTTAGAGACTCCCAGTGATGTTTTTGATTCACATTCCCCTGACAAGGAAAAGGAGAACTTTCTCCTCTCTTTTTCTCCCCTCCCACCTCCCCTCTGAATGTTTAGCTGGGACTCTCTATGCCGCAGTGCCCAAGAAAGAAAGTACCTGCTAAAAACCAAGCATTGCGGTTTGATGTTTGTTTTTTTTTCACAGCTATTTCAAATCAAACACGCGGCGCTTTCAGTCCCCAAGATGAAACAACAGGAACACCTACCAAAGAGAGGCATGGGGCTCGCTATTTTAGCACATTCTGCAATGTAGTCCCAGTCGGCGCCCCTCGTGTACCGCTGCTCCCTGGATCGACCGTGAAGCTGCAGAAGAAAATCACAGGTGAGACCTCACCAAATGGCCTGGAGGAGGCAGGGCAGACCGGGAGGGTTGGAAGAAGGTGCAAAGGCAATGAGACCAGGCTGGGGTAGAGATCTCCCTTTGTAATGGGTACAAAGACTCAGAAGCACCTAAGAAAATGCTCTCTGCATCTGAATTTTTCTCTGTCATTATCAGAATGACCTAAAAGGGAGTATGCAGCTGGTCAAAGGTACTTGATAGAGCTGCTCAGCCATGGGGCTGGGTAAGGTCACCCTCACATCATTCTTCAGGCTGACCTGCAGGCAGAGTTCCCCAGACATCAGCCAACAACCCCACGCCACAGCAAGTATCCCTGTACCGTGACCATGGATGCTCCCCATTCCCGGATCTTGGGGATTATTTTATGAGCCACGTTAATTTTTTCTTGCACTCCCGTCCGAATCTTCACAGTCAGCGGGACGTCCAGCACCTGCAGAAATAGGAGTGTGTGAGGCCAGGCTGAAGCAGGAGTTGGCTCCATCAGCTCATCTCCCACTGCTGGCAGCTCCTCTGACTCACCGAGTTCATCCCTCGGACGATCTGTTCAAACTTGTTGGATCGAGTCATCAGAGCGCAGCCTCCTCCCTGCGAGACAGAAAGCACCACGGTCAGGACTTTCTGCTCCCTTGCACAGTGAAGACCCTCCCTGGAGCTGCTCAGCAGCAGTCCCTCTGCTCTGGGGATGCAGGTAAGACTTGGAGCACCTCAAGACTTGGAGAAAGGGGACTCTTCAACAACAACAACAAAAAATCCACAGCCTTTTTCTCTCCCAGCTTCTGGCTGCCACCAGGCAGAGAGAGCTAACCGTTCCCTGTTCTTTGAACAGCTTATTCACCCTCTCGCTGCCCATAAATGAACGGGGAGCTCTGGACGAGACTGGCAGAAGCAGATCAGGTAGTGGGGGATGAGGCAGAGGACAAGCATCTACGGAAGGAAGCAAAACATGCTGCAGAATGCCTTCTTACCTTCTTGTAGATCAGGTCAATGGGACACCCAACATTGATGTCTACAAAGTCCACTTCGATTGTCTGGTTCAGGAGCTCTGCACATTTGGTCATCGTGTCTGGAAACGCTCCTTCCAGCTACCAAACGGGGACAGGTTGCATGAGTTCAAGCAGCAGCTTTTCTCCTCTGAAGCGAGGTATCATTTCTTTGCTTATCAACATGGTAGCGCTCACCTGCACCCCAAAAATATCTTCGGTATGATGCCGTTTGAGGAGGGCCCACTCGGAGGACTGGCCCTGCAGCAGGTTTGTGCACACAGCCATCTCCCCGCAGGTGACGTCTGCCCCGAAGCGCTTGCATATCCTTCGGAAAGGGAGGTTACCGCACTGAAAGGGACAGCAGAGAGATGGTTTGTCAGGAGATTCGCTCTGTTCCAAATGTGGCAACGGCAAATTTTGACAAAAAGACAGAATTCTCCACCTACTGTGGTCAGTGGAGCCAAGTAGAGCTTGCCTTGGATTTCCAACTGGAAAACAAGAAGGATGAAGGAGCATGTCAGCAGAGCTGAACCAACAATTTTATCACTTGTCTTGGCTAAAACTCAGTGGGAAACCCAAGAAATCACTGGTTTTGTTTGAGAAGCTCAACTACCCCAAGAGAATGTATCATTCAGATAACAGAACCAGATACTTGAACATGTTTTCACTGCTCAGCTTGGAGAAAACTCAAAGCAGTTAGAGACATAGAGGGATGCAAGCCTGGCTGACAGATGCCAGAACAGAGGTGACAGGGAGGAGTGGAAGAAGGCAACGCTCTCACCCTGGGAGAGCACGGTGTGGTACGCACAAACCACCCGGCCCCGGCCTTGGCTCTCCTTGCAGATCATTTCCATCCTCACTGGCAGTTCAGCCCCTTCCCTCCTTCATGTGCAAGGGGCTGCAGCTTCTCTTGGTTCTCACCTCTCCAAGGACACCATCGCAGCCCCTAGAGCTCGCCTTCCTGCATCCTCCCCCTCACGACAGCAATGGGTCTCCAGGCAGCTCTGGCCTCTGCCAGCCTCTCACCCAGCTAAGAGGTCCCCTCTGCCTTTCCAAGCACCATCTCAACGACTTGAGAGGTAGGAGAGTGACAGCGGCCCTTCACCAAACTCTCACCTTCTTCTTCTCACATGACCGCAGCTTTATCACGTCTTCGTCTGTCACTGGGCCCGCTCTTTTGATGGAGGAAGCCTCCTCACCATCTGTGGGGCCAGGACTCTGCGAGGAGTCTGGTTTGGGATCTTCTGCCTGCTCTGCTAGCACAAGACATTCAGGACCATCTCCTAGGCCCTCCTTGGGTGTCATGCAGTCAGACACCTCTTGCTCCTCTGTAGAGGGCCCCGTGGCTTTCCCTCCCTTCCCACCATCACCGTGGGGCTTGGCCAGACCACGGAGGTACTCGTCAGCCTTCTTGAAGCTAAACTTCCTCTTGCGCAGCTGGTGCTGGAGGTCCTTGGAGAGGTTGTTCCTCACCGGTGACTTCCCTTCCCACTGCTTGGCCAAGTCCGTGTTGACAACGTTCTGGTAGCCATCCCCGAGGTGGGCCTGGGCAAAGCGGCACGTGACGCCGTAAACGCACTTGCCGAAGGTTTTGAAGAGCACACAGGTGCTCCCCAGGTCAGCTGGCTTCGCGGCCATGTACTCGCCGACGTCGTGAAGGAAGCGGCATCGCGGGCCGAAGTAGCACTTCTCTGCACAGCCCTTAAAATGAGAAAGAGAAGGTTAAACCCTCTGCCCTCCAGGTGCCTGCCCGGGCAGGCCTGTCTCTTCCAGCATGGGCGAGGTGAGCCTGGGTCTGCTCCGGCCCGGAGGGGCCACTGCTGCTCTGAGCACCTGTCACTCCCTAGGTGATGGTGGGCACCCCATGAAACATGCCTGGGGAACTGACACCAGGATGTGCTGCGTAAGTGTTACCGAAAATATCCTTAAGGCACCAGAAAGGCAGTGATGTGCCTACTGGAGGGGTAAGCGGACATTTCACTTGTCCTGCCCAGCTCATCCAGCTTCCCCCCTCCCAGCTGGCCAAAAGAGGTGGTTTTGCCAGCACAGCCCCCTGCTAGGAAAGCAGGGAAGGGCC